CACTGGGAAATAGCCGGCGTTCCTGGAATTCTGCACTGAAGGAGAGGCCTTCACTTCAGTTGGGAGTCCGGCCTCTGCGATGTGGAGGCTCTATCGTTAAAAGGGATCGATTGTCACTCAGCTGTTAAATTGTTGAAGGCCCTTGGCGTCTGTGTCTCTGTAATCGGGCCATGAGGGTTTAGACAGACCGGCTTAGATTTAGCTTGACACCTGTGCAAACTCCGTGTGGCGAATTAAATCACAAGGATATAACCTATCAACACACACGACCTTCGGATGAATTTACAATATCCTCATTCTCAGCTGTTGTTCCGTGACATCATAGAGGGTGAAGTTGTAGACGTTTTTTTAGCATCACCTCCCAGTCTGTTATTTCGGTGATTTGTGAATGTATTCTTTACTCCTCTCTCTGCTGTGTTTTTATCAGGACAGGATAACATGCTTCCCGGTTTTGACATAAGATTCAAAGGCTGTAAGAAAAGTTACAAATCAGTTGTCCTTTTACCTTATTAATCTCCACGCCTTGAAGCCAATGCCAAACTAAAAGGCTTTACCTTGGTTCAGTTAGCTATTAGATACACTAGACGTTCTGAATGGCCTCCTCTTGTTTACAAGCATTCTGTTCTATTATGTTCTTATGTTGTTCTTATGTACTCTTATGTAATCCTGCCACCATGTAGACGTGCATTGTCCTGCTGGGAAGTCGACAGCTGCTGTGGGCTCAAGGACATCTTCAGCGTATTGCTCAGTAGCAGGGGTGCTCTCAGTCTGCACCTGACATCATCAGACTGTCACCGCCCAGTGGCTGGTCTGAACAGAAGAACAGCCAGTATCACACTCACCAAAGCCTTTCCACACACACTGTCTGCTCTCAGGACGATGGCGATGGTGAAACAGCATGCATCTGTGAAGGAAACTTTCCCCCACTCACTGGCCCAACCTCAGATGTACTCTGGACCACAGAGGATGTTAACAGGGTCTTCTGCATTTGGCAAATGCAGATCGTTTTCGTGTAGATTTCATGGAGATGCAAACCACAGTCACCAGGCTGACTTGTGGAATGCTTTTTCCTGGAATTTCTCAAGCTTGTGCCCCTCACAGAGCCAGTTTCCTGGTTTCTCTAGACCAGTGTGCTGATTTTTAGGGCAAAACATTTCATTCTCCAGGCAGCTTCGCTCACAGACAGGCGCCTTCAGCCATGCCAATAGCAATCAGGCAAACTTCATCACTCAGATGGAACAGGGTTGTGTCTTTCACCATTGTCATGTCTAATAAAATCAAGTCTTTTTTTAATGGTAATTTAAACAGATTCTTGATCAACTAGACTCAGATACCAAACACCATCAATTACATTAATTTCCATTCTATTCTTTGCAAAATATGTCCTAAAATACATACAGCATAACCACACATTCCGGAAAAGTTTCACAGAGTGATGCTTATATTTATGAGCTAAATGAGCAGAGGCTGTAAAAATCAATTCATGACTTTCTGAGTAGTTTAGCATATGATATCCCACACAGTGGGATGAAGATTGACGAAGGGCTTTTTTACAGAAATTGGAATCAGTTATCTTTTATTATATACCCACTCAATCTGGAATGATTGTGCCTCTGTTCTTCGGCAGAAACTTTTGCACCCACTTGGGAGAGAAGGAGATACGGAGACATGCTTGTTCAACACGTCCACCTGAGAGCCTTTCACATTTTGACATGCAGCGATCTCGACGGCACCAGACAGGAGGACAGCACCTGCCTCTCGGTGACATCACTGCACACCTGCAGGCACACAGCACATCTGTCACGCCCTCTGCAGCCAGAGGGCGCTCCTTCTCTGTCCTGTCCCTAGTTTCCGGTCTGCTGTCCTTCCTGTCCCTCTCTTTCCCTTGGGCTATATATTTCTGGGTCTTGCACTCTGTCCTCGCTCAGCATTGAGGTTCGGATGTCCTGAGACCCGCCTAGCACCAGGGCGCCCCACGTCCGCTCCCTGAGGGCATAGGTTTCTATACGGCATTCCTGAACTTGCATTATGAGCCCGGGCCTTTTTCCCGTCTCGCCGCTACGCATATGGGTCTTTTTCCGCTCTCCTGCTCCCCACGGTTAGTCCCTTTGGACGTCCGTGACAACATCGCTCGCAGGAGTGCGAGAGTCCTGGGTGACTAACCCAACCCTACCCCTGGCCAACCTGCTAGTGGCCTTTGGGAATCCCAGTCACAGCTGGCTAGAGATATGACCCAGCCTAAAAGTGATCCTGCTGTTAAATGCAGTCACCCGAGCTAGCAAAGAGGACCCGCTGAACCCCCTGTGTAGTTTCTGGTGGCTTTGATGGAAATCCTCACACCCTTGTAGTGTTTCATCTTAGCAGTGCTGAGGACAGTGTCAGTAATCTTCGTTGTACCAGCTGTGTAACTGCAAATCTCTTGTTCCTTGGCTCCTGTGCAAAATAGTAGCACATTCGTCCCATTCAAAAAGCATGCAGAATCATTGTGTTAATATTTTTTGTCTCATTTTGCGAGATGAGTGCATATCGCAGTTCTGCAGCTGATTTGCAATGATCGCCTGTACTGCATTACTGTACCTGCAGTGCAGGTTTCCATCAACAAGTTAATGATTTCATTAGGTCTCTGGTGCATCTCTGCAGGTGGTTGTCTCCTTAGCAGTGTGATGTATTCACGATCGCCTGTATATTTAAGGATTGTGATAGTGCATATCACTCAAGCAGATATATTACAATGTGCTGAATTACAATGTATGTATGCCTATAATTATGAATTATTGCAGTTGAAATTCACTGGGTAGACAGACGAGATCAAGGGCAAGGGAACGGTAGTGGGAGAGAAGCTACCATGAACAGATATAGAGAAAGGTTACAGAACTGTCTATCTCACAGGGGTGTGAAAGACTGCATAACCACTCTCTATGTAAGCAGTTGTATGTTTCTCTGTGAGATGTTTTTGGCAAAAAAAATGTCAGCTGAAATTAATAAAGAGGAATGAGTAAGAAATGTATTTAGGGAAAGAAGAACATGTTTAGTGCACTTCTTAAGATGTTTTGCTGCTGCAGCATGCATTTGTTTGAAAATGTGTGGCTTTTCTCAGCAGGGCTGATGGAGCCACGTCTCCTCTGACTCCTTGTGGTGTTACTGGAAATCCCCCTTCTGCAGCACAGACAGCCTGGCATGCCTGAGCACGGGGTCAGGCATTTCGCATGCACTGGCTCTGTCCTGAGGTAGCTCTCTGTAATCTGCCAAATTAGCAGAGCACAACAAGCCAGTCACAGCATCTGGGGCTGAGACAGAGCCGAGCTGAGGCAGTTCCAGAAATAGACGCCTTGGGCAGGGCAGTCCAGGGGAGTCTGACCAAGCAGCTCTCACAAGCTGCACAAGCTGCATTCCAGCCCTGTCCTCATGCTGCTGTGTTTGTCTACTGACACAGGTACACACCCCACGGGCATTTGGTTTCAAATCCAAATTAAGAGCATTTGAAATTAATGACCCAGCAGCTTTCATAGGCTGTACCGTAGTTTGTTTATTTATTTGTATCCCAAATGTGTTACTAGCAGGGCTTTGCACGCACAGAAGAGTATTCGTTAATTAGTTTATTTTTTGTATGCCTGTGATTTATTCATTAACAAAATTCATAGAAGCAAAGTTAGTGTCAGTGTAAATTTTATATTAGCATTTTGCTCAACCAAAATGCAGCCCAGTGATTTGAACAGGCACAGCCAGTGATGGGGGCGAGAGAGTGGAACAAGCAGCCCAGCCATGTTGTTGAAGCTGATACTGTACTTCATGAAACTTGATCACCCCCTCTGATCAACAGGCTGCTTCACCAAACGCACAAGATGGGCCGATCATAAACCTTCAGAAACCTGCAATGCAGCAGACAAAGGTCTCAGCTTTGTCAAGCAGAATGTAGAGAAATTAGTATAGTGTTGAGGTTACAAACAGACATATAAAACAGTAACAGTGTACCTTGGTTACTGTTTCAATATCCCAGTCACATCCCTGTGTTTTTTTAATGAGGGATGTATTTCATTATGCTAATATAGTAGGTAGCTGCAAGACAGCAACCCTCCACGTATCCTACAAGACTCCTTCAGTAATTCTTGCGGGACATCTGCAACACATTTAGGACTTCATTCAAAGGGCACTTTGTTTAAAAGTAGGTAGGACACTTCAGATTCCCTAATGATAACACTCCTAACGATAATACGATAATAATCGTTGGGCCGGAACTCTGGTGTTTTGTGTCGGCTCTCCTCGGAAGAGAGGCTCCAGCCGCCATCGTCAGGTCAATTAGAGTTGATACACATCATCTTTTTCCTCGCCGAGCAGGGTCAAAACAAAAACAGGCGCTCATTAACATGCGTGGTCTGTTGGTGGTACACATGCTCGTTCACACCCCAGTGCCACCAGAAAATGAAGGCATCGGGAGCCAGTCGAGGTAGGTGGGCCAGCCCTCTCCCGCCTGTGTGGGAAAGCGTTCACGAGGCCTTAACAAATGCAAGCGGACAGGTGCACCTCTCGGTGTGGCAGTGGTGTAGCTCCTACGTGTTGGATGGCCAGCGACTCGATGTGTTTCTGTCTGTCAGTGACCTGCGTGTTATTTTCATGGCTCTCTCTTTTGTTGGAACCAGTGGAATGTTACACAAGCTTAACTATCCCTGTCGGAACTGAGGTAATCATTAATGTTTTTTCATCATTCTTTTCTTCTTTTCTGGGAGAACAGGCCAGTAATTAAAAGCACAACAAATGCTGTCAGGGATTATTCTCCACTGATGGGTTTTGATTGCCCTTTTTTTTTGTCTCATAATTGGACTTTCATAATAGGATGGACCACCAACGTCCAGCTGGATTTGGTCGGATTTCATTTTCGTTCAGGATTCTCCCAGCAGAGCATACTCATAAGCGAAACGAATTCTTCAATGGTAGGCAAAAAAAAAATGTTTTCAATAGATTATTTAAATGAAAAAACCAACATATTTTCCCATTTGCTCAGCCATGCCTAGATTGAGTGCATTTCTTAGCTTTTCACCTTCTCCTTGAATCATTTACAAAGTCTTTTTTTCTCCTATTTTTCCATGCTATTCTTTTTCGTCTCGGGGGCAAATGAGTTGTTTTCCAGCTGGCCCTTTGTTGTAGTAATATAGTGTAACAGACTTTTTGATTGACATCTTTTTTGTTTTACATGCTCATTGCTCAACCAGTGAATTTAATTGGGCATTTTAGACTTCCTTTTTGGGAAGTCCTTTATCCTGCCACTGTGAAATAAGGACAGGGAGAATCACATTTCTTGGGAACCTACTGCTTTTCCAGAGGATTGGTGTGATTCCTTACAGTGCCTTTGCCATTTGCTCACTTTTGTCCTAAGGTGCACCAGTGTCTTCTACCTGAGTGGACGAATTGATCAGTGCTCAGCTGAGATCCTCATCTTGTACAGTGTGAAAGAGTCCCTAGCAAGCAACACTGGATCCTGTTTATTTCCTGTTTTCATTTAACAGGGGCTGATTTCCAAGTCATTTTTTGCAGTCAGTAAATGCTTTTTTATACCTGCCAGGAGCACAGCTTCTTTGCAAAAGAAAAGTTTGTGAAATGCAATTAGAACGTATTTCTTGCCCCTTGTCTCAGAATGAAAAGCTGGTTTGGTGAGTTAAAAGTCTAACTTATATCTTGCTTATGTTTTGTTTGGCTAAAGCCTTCTTCCAGCACAAACAGGTGACCTTCATCTTCCATGTCTCCTTTCACGGAGCCCCAGAGACATGTGTGACCACTTTTGCTCTGCAAAAACGTATTGCCAAAATCTTTAAGTGTTGTCACAGGAACTGCATGAGCCAGGATTTCTTTTTATGAGAAGCAGGCACAGTGAGAAAGTGCATGCTGCCCTCATGTGATGTCAGGAGTTGGTTTCATCCTCACATTGCCCACTTAAAGCAAGGTATGTGCTGGCAGCTGCTGCAGAAAAAGTATTGGAGAGCCAACTCGTGACCCTCCTAATAAAACCTGTCGGAGGCATTTGCACAGGCAGTAGGATTGAGAATGATGTGTGACAGCTCACTTCCTTTAGCAACTCTTGCTATTAATAGGTGCATCTGTACTCTGCAGAGAACGCACCATGCTGTGAGTGCCAGGTCTCTTTGTTCTGCTGAACATTTTATTTGAAAGTAGATTGTCTGATATTGGTCTAATTCTTAATCACTAAACTGCTCTGCAGGCGAGCTCGCAGGCCCCACTCTGCAGTAACCCTTGCCGTAGATTGGAAGACAAACAGAGGAAAGCTTTGATCTCTTCTTTTTTAATGTGGCATGTGTTTCTTTGTTAAGGTCTTCGTGATCTGCAGGAAATTCCACAATACATTAGTCACCAGCGGTCTCCTGATGTGTCTTTTGTTGTCCAGGTCTGCAGGAGCTGAGGAGAGGCATGACAGTGGGTGGCACTCAGCGCACGGACAGGTAGCAGGGGCAGAGTGTGGTCTAAATGCTGATGTGGCAGTATTGCCAAAGTATCCCGCATGTCTGCTTATTTTCTAAATCACTCACTTCTTTCGCTGTTCAGATAATGCCCGCAGTTTACATTCTGCTTTGCAAGTTCCCTCTGTACTTTACTATGCTTTTGTTGTGGTTAAACTTTGTAATGCAAATTCTATTTTTACAATGATATGTCACATTAAACATTTATTAAGGTATAGAGATAAGATCTACAGGACTAAAATGCAACACTTGGAGAATTCTGTATTCCTGCAGGTTCCTGTAGGTATTAATTACCATACACATCCATTACATGTTTGGTGATACACATAATAGACATCGGAACAGAGGAAATTTGTTAACACTTGTGTTTGTAAGCAGGCCTAGTGTTCTGCATCTTTTTGGCATTATTTCCAGGACAAGCTTAATTGACCTGATCTCTACAGTGAAGACGTGGCACAAAGCAAGTACACTCTCACTGGTCACACTAAACACACCGCCAGGAAACAGGAGTTCGTTAATCTCCTCAAGATTGCTCAGATTTCACATATTTTAGAGGCGGTTCAGTATTACTTCCAACAGTTTGGTGGAGAGTGCTGACACCCTGAGCTGGGAGCTCTTTGGAATGTTGAAACACAATACCAGGAAAATGAACAATAATGAACTTCACACACCTGAATAAAATACCCAAAGGCACCTTGAATTAGACGCCTGTAGATGGAGGCTGACAGTATCATATACAGCACTCTTCAAGGGTTGGGTCACTGTCATTTTAATGAAATTCCTCAGGCAGTGATGGGGATGTGATGTGGCATACAGACATGAAGAAAAGTTAAGGGTGGTAGAGGGTGATAGGACTACACTTTTTACAATTTGTTAACCCCTTAGGTTAAAGTCATAGCTTCACATGTGAGTAATAAATGACTGTGCAATGATAGGAAGGGAGTAAACGGAATCTGCTCTTCGCTGCCAGGTCTTGCTACAGTAGCCATGCACGGCATCTGCGTGTTCAGAATGTGTCTGTCTTCCTGCCCCAGGTCAGCACTGTGCTCCGATTCCCCCTCCACTCCCCTGGCTTCCCTGCACCCCGCAGGTAACTTTCATCCCACCTCTGTCGGAGATATTAGCCCCCGTAGCTCATGAAGAACTCCTGTTCCTCTGCTACCGGCTCCAACAACTGACTTAAGCGCACGTTGAGCGGAGCTGTGGGTCGTTATCCTGTTGTCTTGATACGTCTTCAGTGTTTTTTAACTACCTGTCTGATTGTTTAATGGTGGCCCCGAAAACGTTTAGCAGGCTCTATTCCTTCATCTCCCTTTCCAAGCTTTGATGTTTACATTGGCTTACAAACCGGATTTATTTTAGTTTGTTTTCCCCCACAGCTTTGAAGATGCCATCACTGCTATAAACCTGAACTCTGCTGCAATTAACTGTTGTTGCTGTCGAAGATGTTGATGACCATCAACAGAAATCTGCTTGTTCCTGGGAAGGTGAGATTACTTTCTGGGTGGGATGCCAGTCCAGTAGAGGGGGCACACACCCAGGGGCAATTAAGACACACCTATTAACCCCTGCAGCATGTCTTTGGCAGGTGGGAGGAAACCAGAGCACCTAGCAAAGCACAAACAACAGAACTGGAGTGAACAGCCCAGAATGGAGCCATCACCATATCTTGAGGGTTAGAATAAAAAGTGCGTGAGAGTTCGGGCTCCAGGTGGAAGTTATAGTAACCACGGAACTACTTTCTCACAACAGCAGGTGGCGCCAGTCACATAGTCCCAAATGCTTCATCTTGAAAGGTTAAAGGACGAGATAGGCTGGTCATCTGACTATACCCATCTCCTTCAAGAACAAAATATGAGCAGTATTGAATCAGGAATTAGTAGATCTAGGGGAGTAAAATAATTAAATCCATGTGTTGCACTGTATTTACCACATCGAACCTTCTTTTCTATATTTCAGTTTCCAAGTAATCACATAGACTAAAAACACAGGGACACAAAAGATGAAAAGGTTCATCTGTTACGTTTCCGAGAATTATCGGGACTGAGACTTAGCATTAAAAGGAAGAAAAGAGACAATGAACATTCACTGTCATGGTAAAAACAGGAAAATCCTAGTGCTCTGAACTCCTCGTTCCAAAGAATTGGCTGCAAACAAAGGAAACAGTACCCTGAAAACTGAAGTCACAGTGGTTCTGAGTTTTACTGGTGATGGAAAATTTCTGTGAGTCATTAATATGTTTATAAATTAAGTATGCTTATACTTTGCCAATAACCTTTATGATTCATGAAAAATGACACATCAAGGAAATCCTATCTTTAAAGTTATCCAGTATTTTAGGTTCCTGGTATCTAATTTGTGTCCTAGTAATATTTGCGGGTGTATTAGATGACACCAAATAAGATGCATGTTAATTAGTCAAGCTACAAGAGTCCTTTACTTAAAGGAGACGATAAAGGTCACTTATTGTAGACACTAAAAACAGATTGATGAAAGCCTGGAAACTTGATGAATAAATTCAGCAGATAATGCCAAGGTATGTAATTAAAACCCATGTTTTAGCCTGAAAATGGGCTGAAACCTAAGTTATTGAAATCTACCATATCTTTTCGGGACATGTTGGATTGTATTGCCTAAGGGAGTTGATATTTTACTGTTTAAACAAAGAGTTCTTATGCAGTAAATAAGAACATGAAAATGTTACAAACGAGAGGATGCCATCGGGGCCCACCTACCTTGTTTGTTTGCTTGTAGCTAATTGATCCCAGGATTTCACTCAGCCATTTCTTTAAAGAAACCGTGGTATCCGTTTTGACAGTATGGTTTAGGAGTTTGTTCCAAACTGCCACAGTGTTCTGTGTAAGGAAGGACATGCCTACTGCTCTCAGGTTGAAATGCACTTCTGTACATTTACCAATTGTCTGCTCTGGTTACTCTTTCACTCTTCAATCTGAAAACGTCTCTGTTGAATTGACTCTATCAGTACCTGAATTACCTCATAGTCTTCTCTGTTCAAGACTAAAGTGATCCTGTTCCTTAAACCTGACAGCGTCGGACCAGAAAAAACACCTGTTCGGTCTTCTTTGGACTGATTCCAAAGCACTTTGTACATTGTCTCAGTTGGTTCAGAGAATGAAACAAACTATTATTTGTTTTAAGATGAAAGACATAACATTATAATGTAAAACTATGGAGAAAAAACTTGTTTCCATAGCCTGAGTGACACTTGGCACTCATCCAAATCATATATATTTATGCTATAATAACTCATCATGAAGCCTTCCTCTAAATTTGTTTGACACACAAAAGCCATTGAACCAATGCCTATCTACATTAAACTACAGCAAGTCAAACAGTGTCTGATATCGTAACCTGATATCACAAAGCCACACTGCATTATCTGCATGGACTGCCCTGACTTTGAATTAATAAAGGGAAAATTACAGGCATGCACAGAATAAGTGAACACAATTCCATCTCCTTCATTGATGTCTGTAGCAATAACAACCTGTGTAAAAACGCAGGTTGGACTGACTGTCATAGAGCAGCCCCTGTAAACCCCATTACTTGTTAAAATATTTATTGCTTAGGAATGAACTGTCACTTGGTACAATCAATTTAGCTTCGGATTGCCTTTAATACCTGCTTGACAGATGTTTGAAGTACCTAATACAAGATATGCCTATGGATTTAAAATAATTTCGAAGCACAGTAGATGAAGCAAATGTAAGAAAGTGTGTTTTCATCTACGTCTTTTAGAATCCAAGAATCCGTGTTGTCCAAGAAGATGCCCTGGCTGGAGGGGATCCCGGGTCACTCAGCGAAGAGAACCCCAGGGAGGCAGATGGGTGGAATGACCTCTTCTTATCTAAAGCCTTTCTGACGTTCTTATGAAAGCTTTAACTTGGAGTTGCAAACTGACAAGCTGGCGAAATCACCGGCTTTGAGTTTTCCAGTTGTTCAAGATAAAATCAGGAATTCAGGGCCGTCACTGACTTGTTTCGAACTATAATCTGCTGCAGCATCATTCCGGTCCCCACATTAAAGTGATTTTATTGGGCCCTGAGAACCAAACACGGCTTTTATCTGGCGATCAAGAACTGGGAAAACGTTAACCCGTATTCAGCGACTGATCCGTAATTGCGAGGAATAGCTTGAGGCGATTTAGCTAACACACCAGTTTTCCATATAAGCAGCACAAAGACTGAGGATCTGATGCATGAGGTATGACACAATCATGATACATTTTGGATTTTCTTTTACATATTCACTTAAAATGTATTGTTTTCATTATATTCCTTTATTTGTTTAATTCATCGCCGATTTTCAGGGTCCAGCTATTTAGTCTGGTGACATCTCTACTAGAAAGGAAATCATACATCGTGCTGTTCAATTAAAGGGTAATTATGCCCCTTAAAGGCATACCCTTACCCTCAAATGGGTAGGACAGAAACTGTTATTGTATTTCTGTCATTTGTCACTTTAATGCTGCCAGCTGTACCATTCTAAGGCTCACAATAATATTTCTCCAGTGCTCATCTGGCTTGTTTTGTGTGTAATAATAGGAAACCCAAATACATCTTTGCCCATAAACATGGTCCCCTCTCCCAAAGAAGTTCTCCGACTGTTTGCTTTGCTCTTCCCATCTCCTGTAGCTGCGGCTTCCTGTCTCTCAGCTCAAGCTCCTCGAGGTTGGCTTTTTTACGAGTTTGACAGCCATGGACGGAGAGCCGCTTTGTGAAACTGGATTGCTTGCTGTAATTAGTGGCTCAGCCCCCCGTAATGTATTGTTTGCTTATGCCGTTCGTTAATCGAATACAGCGCGACATACTGTTCTAGAATGTCATGAGAACAGTAGATTCAAGTCTCGGACAGCCTCGGGTTTAAGAGTGGAATGTTTTTTTATTATTTGTATTTAATAATAAACATTCCTCTCGTTCCAGATTCGTGTGTCAGCGCTCACGCTGTTAAGGACAACCAACTGTTGGCTTCGTACAAAAAAAAAAAGAGAATACGTTCGTGTACTGGTTACTTTTATCCGAAGCGGAGTTCAAAAAGAAAGAAAAAGTTGTTTGGATTTTTTTTTTTACAGTGTTCATTTACAAGACCCCTCCTCCCCCCCACTAACCGCAAAGCGTCGGGCTTCACTACTCAGAAGGAGTGATTTGCATGTGAAAAATCTCATATCGGTTAATAAGGGAAGTCGTTTCAGACCCGTTCTCACAATCTGATTGGCAGTTATCAGCTCCACATTCTCACGGCATCGCTGGTAATGGATCCTCCAGTGAATTCAGTTTCCACGGAAACTAACCTTAACCCTACCTTGACCTGCAGTTTGCTCTCATCTCTTGAATTCCAAGCCCATCGACCGAGGTGACTAAGCCCAAAGACTTGACTGGCGGACATTCACGTGGTTACTGGAACGGGTCTGATTAAAGAGATAAATGCGATAGCTTTCCGCCAGTCGTCAACACCTGCTCGCACCTTGTGAGATGCCCTAAGCGGTCCTTCACCACTCATTCCTTCAGCTTACGTTGTCGTTGCAAACTGATCTGCACGTATCTTTGGAAAATTCGATTTTAATTCAGTCTGATACGCATATGAAATTGTGACTTCCAACAAAAAACGTTGGAAAAAAAGTAAATATCTTTTGCATACTTATTAGGTGTGAATTTGAATTAACGGCAAACAGAATCAGCTAGAAATGCGGTTTTCGATATCAATATTATTCGTCTAAGTGTATGTACAGTGCCCTCCAGATTATTGTCACCCTTGGTAAAGATGAGCAAAAAAAGACTATGAAAATATCTTTGTTGTTTATCAGCTTGATCTTACACTGAAAATATGAGTGAAATCTAACCTTTCAGTGAGGTAAAATTATTCAATAAAAAAAATCCTTATAAAAAATAAATATTTTTTCTCAAAAACACATGTGTCACAATTATTGGCACCCCTGCATTTAGTGCTGTGTGCACCCTCCCTTGGCCAAGATAACAGCACTGAGTCTTCTCTTATAATGCTGGATGAAGTGGGAGAACACATGTAAAGGGACCTGAGACCATTCCTCCATACAAAATCTCTTCAGATCCTTCAGAGACCTTGGCCCTCGCTTGTGGACTCTCCTCTTCAGCTCACCCCACAGGTTTTCAATGGGGTTTAGGTCAAGGGACTGGGCTGAAAACTGCAAAACCTTGATTCTGTGGCCAGTGAACCATTTCCGTGTGGATTTGGAGGTATGCTTTGGATCATTGTCCTGCTGGAAGATCCAGCCCCGACCCAGTCAGCCTCCTGCAGAGGCAGCCAGATTTTGACCTAAAATCTCCTGGTATTTGATGGAGTCCATGATGCCGTGTATCCTAACAAGATTCCAAGGGCCTTTGGAAGAAAAACAGCCCCACAACATCACAGATCCACCACCATACTTCACAGTGGGGATGAGGTTCTTTTCTGCACCTTGACACTTTTTACGCCAAACCCACCTACTGGTGTTTGCTGCCAAAAAGCTGTATTTTTGTCTCATCTGACCATAGAACCCAGTTCCAATCAAAGTTCCAGTGATGTTTAGCGAACTCCAGGCCCTAATATTTGTGGTTTGACGACAGGAGAGGCTTTTTTCTTGCAAACCTTCCAAATAGTTTGTTGGCATGGAGGTGGCGTCTAGTTGTAGTTTTGGAGACTTGGTGACCCTAGGATGCAACCACCTCCTGCAATTGTGCAACTGTGATCCTTAAAGAAAGTTTTGCCTCTCGAACCATCTTCTTCACTGTGTGTGTGGGCAAAATACACTTGTGTCCTCTTCCAGGCAAGTTCATCACAGCTCCAGTTGTTTGAAACTTTTTAATTATTGCCCAAACAGTGGAGATGGGTATTTTCAGGCGTGAAGCCATTGTCTGATTTATGGAGGTCAACAACCTTTTGTCTCATTTTATTTGTGTATTCTCTGGTCTTCCCCATGTTGATTGATGACTAAGGGTGTTTGGCCTGCGTGTCACCTCATATTTATACCCCAGTGAAACAGGAAGTCATGGATGACCACTTAAGAGTTCCTAAAGACTCAGGTGTGCTTAAGAAAGGTAAAATATGAATGGGAATACATTTCAGTCAGATTTTGTTCATAGGAATTTCTAGGGGTGCCAATAATTGTGACAATTGTGAAAAATGTTGATTTTTTTATAAGGATTTTTTTTCTTTGAATAATTTTACCTCACTGAAAGGTTAGATTTCTCTCATATTTTCAGTGTAAGATCAAGCTGATAAAGAACAAATACATATTTTCATAGCCTTTTTTGCTCCTCTTTACCAAGGGTGCCAATAATTCTGGAGGGCACTGTATATATTTAAAAAAAACTACACTGGCTAATGAAATGTGAGAAAAAAGGAAGAACAAAAATATCCAAAAATGTTCGGCCTTCGTTCAGACTTTGGATCCTGCAGTGTTGGCAACATTGTACATCCACAATTGCATAGACAAACAGTAGAGCAAGGTTTTGAAAATAATAATCCCATAAAACACAGCCATGATCGTTAGACGTTTAACTGAATTAAGTAGGGTTCCGTTACTATTGTAACTGCCAATAAAAAAAAAACAATCAGTAAAAATTAGTTTTACATCATATAAAGTGAAATACATAGCTTAAATCTCTAATCTTTATAGTGTTGTAAAAATGTATCAAATACAGCCTATTTATAGAAAAGCACGGCGCCCGCAGGCAACACTGGCTCAGTGGTGCTTTCGGTGCGTTGTGGATGAATGGAGATGCAGAATCCCGATCCATGTCTTTGAATGAAACTCCATGCCCCGTTTTCCTTTTCGCCGCCGTGGACCGTGTGTCATAGGCAAAATATGTGCACATAGAAAATATGGAGTGGGTACTCGTTTTGTTCCACGTTCCGGATCTGCTAATGGCTGTTTGTCCTGTATCCTTAGCAAGGCATGACCTGGTTCCTCTTGCACCACCACAGCTGTGCGCAAAACGCCAAGTAAATCTCCTATAATAAGCGGTATATTAGTACTGTGGGAAGTGATACAGGTGGAGATGTTATTCTACAAATTCCAGATGCTTTCGGGTTCTCGTTCAAAGGGTTATGAAATTATCGGCCGAGAGCTGGGTTAGCAGAGAGGTCTGTCGGCCTCTCTCTGGACGGATAACACTAGAGCAGTACTGGATTGATGTGATATATAAACATGCACAGTCTTAGATATTTTACGAGCCCTTCAAAAGAAACAGCCTCTGGGCATGTTTGTTTCCTAAAGAAAATTCGTACGGACGATAATTTCTGTGCAACCGTCTGTTTCTTCGTTCATTTCTATTTAAATTACCATAGACGCACATATTTAAATCTGAAATCTTAGAATCTAAAAAATCTCAATCCTAAATCTAAAATCTAAGATTTTATCGAAATTTAAATTTAGGATCTAAAAGCCCAAATCTGAATGACAGAAAGTCGGCCGGTACACCTGTGCTCCTGTTGTAACATGGCGGAGGTCCCGCTGGTCTGCCGGAGCTTCACCCTTACGGGGGGTCAGCGAGGTGGGCACTCAGGGGTGACACGGGCGAGTGTCCGCGACGGGGTGAATAAGCAAGCAAGCAAGCAAGCAGGCAGGCGGAAGGAAAAGTTGCAGAAGTCTGTTCGCCCAGTCTCTCATCCTGTTTACCTTAGTTTAAAAGGTCAAGGAATGGCGCCATTACAGTCCTACACACGTAAAACCGAGCCTCGTTAATGTTTTTTTTTTTTTAATCTACATGCAGAATTGAACGTGGTTTTTGAAATATGTGGTCTTACTTAGAAACGGGGGGGATATTTGACACGGAGCTGGATGTGGCGAAGTGTGCACCGTATTTTATCTCCTTAGCAAAGGAGATGGAAGAACTTTTCAAACAAATGACTTGCATTACCCCTGTAGCGTGAACAAAGACGCTTTAGCTGTTGTAGATATTCATCTACTAACAGCAGCATTTTAACAGCATGTACTGACTAGGCAAAAAAACAAAGCCTGTGACCTTATACTCTAAGGTGAACCCTCCTCGTTTGTTTAACCTGGCATAATACAGGCCTATGGGTTAACACTTAACAAAACGCAGAGAGGAGAGGATGGTGAGAGAGTTCCCTGCGGACCCGCGCGACGGCCCAGTTTGGATGTGGTGTGGTGGCCGGGCTCGCTCGGGGAGTATCGGCAGGGCCAGCTCTGCCCACCAGGAGCAGGGCTGCCACAGCACGCAGAGAGTCCCGCCGGTGTCGCGTTTGGCCCAGCCTGCCCCCCCCCTCCTGCTTCCTCGGCTCGGCGCTCCTGCCGGCCGTTGGGGGGGGGGGCGTGCTGGAGGAAGACTGGGAAGGGACAGCGTGGAGCGGCGCTGGTGCTGCTTTCGGCAGGGAGCGGCATAAATCTTATCACAAAGAGATGGTGTCATGTCTTGGCCCTCACGCCGCAACGCTGGGAAAGATGTCAGAGTCCCCCAGTTGTTTTACATTAGTGACTCCAAATGGGGCTGCCACAGCTATTCAACAATCGCCAAACGAACAGAATTTAATGTCTGCAGTGACAGACCTGCACAGTGAAAGTATCGTTTGCATTCTCCCACACTCGAATACCCAAATAAGGGAATAATAATATCCCATGTCAAGTCTCCTTTCCACTGTGGGATTCGTGTTTAAAGTGAAGCCCCCCTCTATTTCAGCCACTAGCAACCTATACTTACTTATTTGTAACTCTTCTTAAACAGTCATGTTCATATGCTGCCAAGTCTTGGATAGGCATTGAAACGGACAATAAGTTGGAGAAAACTCACAAACAGGGAAATTTGCAAACAGGAACAAATGGTCTGTACTGCAAAACTACAGGAAGCAGTGGGACTGGCATTATAAAGGCAGGTGTTGTAAGGAGGGATATCTTCAAATGCCATTTGTGTCAATTTTTCCAGCAGACTTCCGGTGAAAACCTTTCAGAGACCTCTCTGTGTGTTGGTAGTTTGAGGAGCTTAACAGCACCCACATGCTGATATTACCCACCTGTTAGGCTGTAAACAGGCAATCCTCAGACTCTGCCTCAAACAAGTTGCATAACAGCTTCTCAGAACATTTTTACATACTGTAAGAACTGTTTCAAAACAAAAAGAGGCCATTTGCAGTGAAAAGGGTGATCTTTCAGTAGTTAATACATCCAGGGAGTTCATTGTGCAAATTCTTGAAAGTAGACAGGGTATCAGCTTGTTCCAGACTCCCACAACCCTTGGTGTAAGGAAGTGCCTCCTGTTCTCTAGTTCTGAATGCACTTTCCCATTTCCACTTGACTCTGGATTCCACTTGTGCAGTTCATTGAAGTATTGAGGCCTATTTCATACCTTAGTGATTTGGTTTCTATCTATGGGTACTGTACTCAGAATTAATTATTTAAATAATTAATTGCATGTATATAGAGATTTTCATCCCAAAGGTGCAGAAGGGAGAATTTGAATCACCTATTGAATTAAAGGGGAATTCTAGGGAGGTCAGACTGTGACAGCCCAAAGGGGAATTTAGTTAGGACATCAGGGTTAAAGCCACTACTCTTAGAAACAGTGCTATGGGTTTTCAATAACCAAGTAGTCAGGATCTTGGTTTAATGTCTCATTTGAAGGACAGGATCTCCCAGAGCACAGTGTCCCCAGTCACCACATAGGATCGTCTGTCTGGCGGTTCTGGTACAGAGGGAATTCTGCCAGAATTTCCAGACAAATGCTCTAATACACTTCAGTGAGGCACTGTAGTCATTCTCTTCCTACTTCTAAAGCACTTGGGTTGAAAAG